AATACTCTGATGTATATCTCGTTGAAAAAATTCTAAGAAGAAAAGGAAACAAAGTTTATGTAAAATGGTTAGGATTAGATAAAAAGTTTAATACATGGATTAATAAAAATGATGTTGTATAGTTGTTTTATGTAACTTAAAATAAAATAAAGGACTAATTAATATAATATAGTTTTATTTAATATTTGGTTAAATACAAGTATTATCAAATCGTGTTAAATACATTTTAGTTCTGTGTTCTTTGCTTAGTATTGGATCAAGAATAAGCTTACAATTATTAATTCGTTTTCAAAACGAAGTCTATCTACATAATAAGTTCTAAATTCACTTTTTCGTGCTTGTTTATAAGCAAAATTCCACTGCACTAACACATAAAGTTTATTTTTCTCTTCCTGAAAAGTCACCGATTTCTTCATAATATTTTCTTTTGAGTTCATTCGTCTTCAACCTTTTTTCCAATTCTTCTGGGTACTGTATGAGGAACTCTAACATGGTTGAAACATTTTCACTGTTTGGATTTTGATTGGGTTGCAAAATGCGATAAATATTATCAATAGGATCGCCTTCCTGAATTGAAATGTTGGTTTGGAATACTTTAAAGTAAAGTGAAAATTCTTGTTTCTTTATAATAGAAATCCTGTAATCCACAACTTCCTTTAATCGCCATAATATTTCTATAGACTCGTATCCCAAATATACATAGTTCGAATATTCTTCTTTAATTTTTACAACAGGAAGACTGTTAACTTTCTCAAAATATAATTTAAAGTTGTTTATATTCAACATGGGTTCGTTAATTTGCTGGGGGAAGCAGAAGTAGTTTTCAATAACTCCTCGATGATTGCAAAAACTGTTCCAATTTTCTTCACTTAGAGTTACAGAAAAACCATTTTTTCCACCGATTATAATTTTCGGTGAAAAATCTTGATTACTTATACCAACAATAACAAACTTTGATAAAGATTTATTCAAAAAGAAAATTTTTGAATTTAAAAGATTTTTAGAAGACATGTTGAATGAACTAAATAATATTAAGTTCTTCTCTTACTTTAATATTCATACCCCTACCATTTCATATCCCCACCTATTCATATCATCAACTCATGCGCATTGCTTATTGTCTATTCACAACAATGTTTTAAATGAAATTGATTAATGAAAGTATAAATTTCCTGTTTGAAATTTATAATAAAAAAAGATAATTAAAATTGTAATATACAAAAATATTGTAAAAGTTAAAAAGAGATTAATGATATTAAAAGTGTTATATCCATTATTTTTTTCATTAATAAATTTAGTATAGTTGAATGATTCATTTTGAAAATGTACATATTTTAATTCAGATCTTTCAATCCAATTAGTATCAAAAATGGTTTGGTTTGAATAATGATATAAAATTTTAAAAAACCTACTAACATTTTCTCCTTTGTTGATGGGATATATAAAACTAAGCGTATTATTATTAATTAAACCAACTTTCATAAACTGACAATTTTTATCAAGTGTAATGTTTGTTTCATTTGAAAAACATATTTCACATCGGGTTACAGTAGGGGGATAATGAACATAAATAACATTTTGAAATATGAAATAAAGGAGAATAAAATGGGTTTGAGGAGCCACTGAAACAAAGTAAATATTTTATTAAAAATTTATTTAACTACAATTTACTTCCATTCAAGATGATTACCAAATGATATTTGACAATATCTTTTCTGAAGATGAATATAAATACTTATTAGCATAAGAAATATATGTTGAAAAAAAAATGTAAATTAATGAATAATAATATCATCAAAATTACACGTTCCAGTGAATTATTAGATTTTTTGAATTTTTGTTTCTTATTGTTTTGTTTTGACTTAACCATCGACATTCATTTAAATTACATAATGGAGAAATTTTGTGATGTTCTTCGATAGGACAGTCATCATAGGTCCACTCATAAATTTCAGTTCCACAATAGTAACATTTGCATACGTCACTATATGAAATATAATAAAAGCCTGCTCCTGCTAATACCTCAGGTTCCAATTTTCCATTCCAGTTTTAAAAGTAGAAAGTCGATTTTCATAGGTTTTATAAGTAACATCATCAATATCTTTATCAAAACTTTCCAAACACATCTTAAGAAGGATTAATAAGAAATGAAATATTGTCAAACATGTATTCTATAAGTAGGTATATTTTTCATTGAAAATGCATTAACTCATATAAAAGTATATTATTAATAAGTAATACAATGTAAATAGTATAGTAATACAATGTAAATAGTATAGTAATACAATGTAAATAGTATAGTAATACAATGTAAATAGTATAGTAATACAATGTAAATAGTATATAACCTAAAGTACATTATGTAAAAATATATTTTACTTATTTAACAAAATTATATGAGTCACTTCAAATAAGTTTTATGGTTTCAGTTTTTCGTTACTCGTTTTTATTTTGTGTTGTGTCTTGTGCATAGGTAAATATTTGTTTCTGTATGAATCTATGTGAACTATTTTGTGTAAAGTTTGATGTTTCACACCATTAAAGAGTTTTATGGCAAATGTTAAAACTAAATAAAAAAATATATTGTATTATTTAAAAAATATTGTAAAACTGAAATACATAAAAATATATTTGTTTCTGTATAAATCTACAACTAATATCTATAAATTATAACAAGTTTAAAACACTCATAAGTGGAATTATAAATTAAATTTAAATCATTCCAGAGTAGAATGCTATTTAATACATTATAATTTTAATAAGTACAACTTTTCATAATTGTGTAAAGTTTTATGTTTCACACCATTAAAGAGTTTTATGGTAAATGTTAAAACTAAAATACATAAAAATATATTTGTTCCTGTATAAATCTATATATCTATAAATTATAACAAGTTTAAAACACACATTCCAGAGGGAAATGATAATTAATACAATCTAATTTTAATAAGTACAACTTTTCATAATTGTGTAAAGTTTGATGTTTCACACCATTAAAGAGTTTTATGGTAAATGTTGAACTAAATAAAAAAATATATTGTATTATTTAAAAAATATATCGAGGTTTGGATTATCTGCATTCCACTGGTATAATGAAATATCATGATGACCCCAAGCAAGTGTTTTAAAATCATGTGGAATTTGATATCTTTTATTATCTTCAGAATTCAATGCAATTTTATGTATTAATTCAGTAAAAATTGAATGTAGTCTAGAACGAAAAACACACATGGAGCAAAAAATTTTAGAATTATTTTCTACTACATCTTTATAATGAATAAAATCTAATTGGTTTTTAATAGCATGTTTTTTATACCTTTGGCTATCTTTAATAAACCATTTTCTGTTTTCACGCAATATGCTTTCGCCCCCGTACCATAAAAAGATTCATTGGGTTCACCAGCATATTCATCCTTAAATTTACCAACAACTGATTGTGTTATTGGCATCTCATGTATATTATTTGGTAAATAATTGGAGGTATCAAATTTATGAATATTCTTTTGCATATCATGATAAACATTATTTGTTGTAATTTCAAGAATAAAAGAATCAGTGTCTGTATACAGAAGAGAAACATTTTCTTTATACAAAGGTTTTAAAAAATTGTAATAGAAGTCATACATAACCGTTTTTGAAATATCTAATATGGAAAAGCCAACATATATTGGTTTGTTGTATGTAATCGATATTTTTTGCATTTGGATGGCTACCAAATTTTCAGAGAAAACAGTCAAATCTTTAAAATACGGCTTTGCAATGAGATTTTCAGCCCCATCTTTCCTTTTGTTTTTTTCCCATTCGGTAACAAGTCTTACATCAACTCTCCTATCCACATTTTCCATTGTTTTTCCATAAATACTATTGTTTGCTAATTTAAAGGTGTGACGATCAAATTCATTTTTAGACTCATTACGTAACTTTGTGTTTAAATCTATAAATTTTTTCAACCAAGCAGATTGAGAAAATTGTATCACTCTATGGATTTTAGTTAACTTGAGACCGTTTTGCAAACATTGTTTTAGTAATTGGTAATGAATAACATATTTTGATTTATTGTACAAATTTGGAATTAATTTTGTAGATTTCGAATTAGGTGGTTTATAATTTTCTGGACAAAAAGGAAAATCATTGTGGCAGTCATGAAGGTGTTCAGGATATTCTAAATCAACTTCTAGAACATAACCTTTGCTAGATATATTAGAAATTGAAAAAATATCTAGATTTTTTATTTCTTTTTCTGACAACCATACAAAATCACCTGTTGGAAGATGTTGGGACATTGCAAAACCGTACAAGTTTGTTGCATCATAGTACATTATATACTTATTAGGTTTTGTTGCATCAAATTTTGAAAGAAAAGGATTATTTGCCTCAGATTTTCTAGTTATGCATGAACTTACTCCACCACGAACACTATTTTTAAAAAAATGTATCATATCTGGATCTATCAGTAATTCCAATTCTATACCTGTATAACGTAAACAAGCTTCCCATGATAAACCGGGAAATGTGTAAAAGTGTGCAGGGTCTAGTTTATATGTTGACAAAGCTGTTTTTCGAAAATTTTCGAAAATATCAGCTAAAAGCATTGTGTCAGATAGCAAATATATATCTGAATAATGTCCTATACATTCACAATCAAATAATTTCCAAACTTTAAGAGCTCTTTCATATTCCTCGTCGGAAATATGTTCATCTGTTAAACTATTAAAAAAGTGATCTTTTTCAGGGAGAAATTTTTCCTCTAATTTTTCAAAACTATCAATGTAATTATAAGGAAACACACCTTTTTGACGAATAAGTTTAAAATGTTCCTCATCTTTTAAAAAAATTTCTTATTTCTATACATTGTTCATCGTTTAGGGTATCTGAAAGTTTAGATAAAGAAAATGATAAGAATTGAAATGAGTCGATAAATCTAAGTGATAGATTCTTTTTTTTTAAATTTCTTGTATGTCTATCAAAATAATTGTCTACATGAATATCTGTACCTCAGAGCCAGAGTATGTTAAGTCCAAAAGCTTTGTTTTTCAGTATAGCGATTTAATTAACTTCATACCAGATTTTTTTAAATTTTTAAATTCTGTTTTTAGTAAAAGTTGTAACTACTTTATAATTAAATAAGGTTTGGTCACAGGAATAAGTGCCATAATGTAAACTTTTCCTTTCGTTTTTTGTTTTTGAAATAAGGGACTTAACATAGTTTTCTATCTAGAAAAACTTAAAATTTTGGATTTAACAACCATATTAAGAGCAAAGGTATGGACTTAAAATATTTACAGTGGACATAATATGGATGTTAGATCAATGGAAAGGGCAAAAATACTACCTAATTAATCATTATACTTAGTTTAATGCTTAAATGCTTACAAAACATATAAAACAGTTTATTCCTTTATTATAAACAAATATTTTTATTCGTCGTCTCCGCTTCGTTCATATTCCAATTTCTTGTAAAAGTCGTGAAATCTTTTTGGCACCCATTTAAGAAGTTTTTGTAAGTGGTTATACTTTTTTGCAGATATTGGTTTAGAACTCTCTCGAATTGGTGGAATTTCCAAAGGAGTGTAATCATTTGATTTGTTTCTTCTGTGAAAGTCGACTTCCAAAAAATCTTTATTAAAATCGGTTTTGTAGTAGAGAATTCCAGGGTTGTTTCTCCTAACTTGCAAGTGAACTGCATGAGATATCAGAAAATCGTTTCCCGTCATATCTTTTTTCTTGTTGATGTATGGTGCAGTTGATCCCTCAAACAGATGTTTAAATTCTTTAAAATCATATTGTTCCATATTGACCACATTAAATTGTTTTTTTGTTCCACATAATCGGACCATCTGCTGCCAATCCCAAGGGGTTACAATTTGAAATTGAGGAAGTTTTTTTCTTTCACGCTCAATCGTAGAGTGAACGACATCAGCCTCCAGGTGAGTATGCCCCCTTGCTAGAAACTTGTGATTAACAGCAGTGATGTTTGGTCTTATACGAAGGATAAAAAAATAACACATTATCATTAGGATGTTCCTATTTTGACTTGGACAGTTGTCCGACCAGATTGTTATTTCCTTAATTTCTTCTGAAACGTTCTGTTCAACCCATTTTATTAGACATGATGCAACTTCATTTCCTCCCCGACCGGCTACACTTTCATCCCACATCATGCAGAAACTTTTTTCACAGGTTGCATCTTGGATAGTTAGGTTATACGTCCATAGTTTTAGAGAGTAAAAGCTCTGTGAATTGTGCAAATCCGGGGTCGGTAGACATTTTTGGAGATCAATCATAATAACTTTTGCTTCTAATAAGTTGTCCCTGGACTTTTTTTTATCTTCTGATTTCATTTTGTATCTGTTAGTCGTATCTGCCAGATGTTGATCGTATTCAGTTTGTAGCTTCTTTCTTATATCAAGTGATTCCGCCTCGCGAATTTGAAGCTGAAGTTGATCACATAAGTCACAGGTATCGTTGTCTGGGCTCTTAAATGAATAGTTATACTCATAGTTGAAAATCTCCGAGTATAGCCATTCTTTTGCAATACTTTCGGGTCCAAAACCACGTTCTGTACATTCTTCTAAGTAAAGTCCGTACATTCTACTTATATTCAAATGATTTCCAAGGTACTTCTTTTTGGTTCTTTCCCGAGAATAATGGGATTCGTATGTTGGAAATTTTGAAATATGGTTTCTAACATTTTGGCGGACTTCTTCTGGGATCTTGTTAATAGATGGATGTCTTCCCCTTTTATCAGGCGTTACAATACCTCCTTCTTTTTTCTTTTTAATTGCAGTATCTACTGTTTGCTGTGAGATGCTAAGGGTATTTAAAAAAAACTTCTTACAAACTGTTTCTTTTTTTCCTTCTGTATCAAAACTGTAACAATTGGTAAAGATTCTTTTTCCTCTCCTTTCGCCGGTCTTCTCTCTGCGTCTTTTTATTGGTATTTGTGATACCATAGATGCTATGTATTGTCTTCTCATATCTACTGTTTTTGATGGACTCCAAAAATTAGAATGTATCATTTGCCGACGTTCTTCTAAAATTCTAGTTCTACAGGAGAGTTTGCAATTGTCATGACAAGGTTCTTTTAGGGACTTTGGGTTCATAACTCGACTTCCACTGTCAGTTTTGTATTCTAACCCTGAATACCGTTTCTTTTTTGTAATATTCTTTTTCCAACTCATTGGATCTGCTTTTCTTTTACGACTTAACATCTTCACTGCTTCTTGGTTTTCATCCTCGTCAGGTTCGGTGTCATCGGAATAGTCGGGGTCTGCTATATCATCATCGCTATCAAAATCTACAAATTCCCTCTCAGGAGTTCTATGTAATAATTGTTCTTCATTCTCAGCACTTATGTGGAAAACTTCGCCTTTACTGGGATTTTGTATGTGATCGTCCATAATATTTTTTAACCCTTCATCAGAACTATGTACCACTTTTTCTGGGATATTATTTAGCGATTTTTCGGGAGTATTTCCTAATAAATTTTGTATAACAGCTGTTTCTGGTACAAAGCGTGACTGTTGCAGCATCTGATGGCATAAAAAACTTAAAGACGGAATAGCACGTCTCATGGGAGATGTACTTTCCTCTTCATAAATTTCTAAAACAAAAAAAACAATAAATAAACTTTTTATATTATTATATTTATTATAGTTAGGTATTAGTGGACCACCAATAGTGGACACTAGAACACTGAATTTAGATTAAAACTACACCATACAACAGGTATTTTGCAGGTACTTACCTAATGTTTGTGTAGAACTGGCTTCTGCTATTTCAATATTGGAAACAGATTGGACATTATTTGTTTTATTTTCTATGCAGTTTTTTACCATTTTACTTGTCCGAGAGGACCACGGAACACGTGAAGTAAAAGGCATTATTTTAAAAAATGTGATTTAACAACAATGTAGGAGGTTAAGTATGTTAACAGGTGGAGCTGACATTTCAAACTGACGTGAATCCAGATGCAAATGTGAGGTTAGTGAGACTTAACATTGTTTGAGTCCAGCAGACCTATGGACTTAACGTAGTTTAAAATCAAATATTTCCGTTAGTTTAAAAGATTGGTTAAAATAAAAAATACCATAAAATGCAGCACAAAATTTTAAGTCACTTAATATATTTAGCTAAAATTTGGTAAATTTGGACTTAACATAGTCTGGCTCTGAGGTACAGATATGTTTTTCAAAGGAAATATATTTTTCTTTATTTTGTGGAATTACTGATATTTGTTCTTTATTTAAACACAAATTCTTTAAAAATAGGTGGCTGTCGTAATTACGTAAGTTGTGCATTATAACTGGAATAAAATTAGGAATTTTATAGTTGATATTACACAAAGAGTGAGCTGGTCCTCTATAGTTGCCTGTTATGTGACAATGATCGGCAACTTTATCCCCTAAAAGTGGTTTATCACAAATATGACATTTTGTGGCATTGTTATGTGTAGTTTGTTCTAATTCTGTTAGAGTATTCATTTTCTTAGGAGTCTTTAAAAATGTTTGATATAAATTTAACGCATCTTGTTCTAGAGAATTTATAAAAACTTTTTCGCTATTCAAACCTTTATATTTTTCAAACTTAGAATAATCATCATCAAATGAACATTTGATATAATATGCAAAAGAGTATGGAATATGTTCAATTTTTTTTACAGTATATGATCTTCTACTTTTTCATTATTATTTAACGGTTTTAAAATACATTCAAAGTCTGCATAAATCACAAAAGGAACTTCCATTTGTTTTTGATAATTTATAAATTTTAATATATTTTCATATGCTACATTTCCATATTTATCTTTAACTAGTTCTTTAGAAGGCAAATTAATTTTACACCAAGCAAAGCAGTAGTCATCGTTATTTCTTATGTTAACTACAGCTTGACGTCGTACTATTTCAGGAGGTAGTTCAATAAATGATGATGCTCTCAAATTATTGAATTTATTGATGGTAATTTCCAAATGAACAAAATTAAGTAAGATCCATCCTGAAACCAGAAATAAAATTAATTACATATATATTTTTAGATTAAAGTTACAACACTTACCAGAATCTTTTTCTGCGAACTGATCTGCCTTATTGTCAATAACTGTTGCAAATTCTTCAATCAAATCCTTTGTTTCAGGATTATTGCAAATTACTTTAAATGGAGTATTAAATGATTTTACATCATGATTATCAGTACTGGGATTATAATAATAGCCAAAAAGCTCCATATTACTTTTAATGCATTTATGTTTTTTTAATTGATCCTCAAATATCCGAAGGATCTTTTGTTCCAATGTTATAAAGTAATTTTTAACATTTACGATCATCTCCTCCACAGATAATCTGTATGTTATTATTCTTTCTTTGAATGCAGATTTAATAATTTGTACTCCTGGTTGTTGTAATATTTTAGAATTATTTTTATGTGCGTTTGATCGTAGATGACCAAACCATAATTTTGTGATATTAACTCCTTGCATTCTTCACAATATCTCTCTATAAAGACAATTATTTTGTTAATTTCAAAAGGTTATAACATAAAAATGAAAAAATCTTACTTTTTCTTCAGGTGTAGACTTTGTCAACCATCTGTTTAGAAAGGAAGATTTGTTGCAGGCACTCTTTAAATGCCGAGATAGGTTATCTTTACGAGTAAAGTTTTTTTTACAGGATGGACAAATAAACATCTTTCAATTTTATTCTGTAAAATAATTTTATGGTTTTATATTAAATTTTATTCTGTTATATGAAAGGTTAAATTTGGAAAAAGAAACGTATAAATAATTTAAAAGAAAATATTTAATTAAAAGAATCCACTAACGTATTGAAAGATTTTTTTAAATTTTCAAGCTCTATGATATTTTCTTTAGTCACGTTTGTTTTTTTAACAAATCCTTCCAAAGCGAAGCCAAGAGATTTTAATTTTGAATAAGGTTTTAAAATTTTTTTTAAAGTTTTCGTTTTTTTTGTTATTATAAATGAAGGTTTAATAAAATCAGTTTTATTCTTAAACGTTTCTCCTCTTTCATCGGAACTAAACTCTTCTATTTTTTGAGAGTGTACCGGTGAAAAAGGAGAAATGTTTTGAGAAGAACTAGTCTGATCCTTATTTTTGGAGTTTAATATATTCTGTTATTAAATTTAGTTCATCAGATTGACTATTTTGTATTAGTGACTCCTCAAATTTTGAAATGGAAATATTGTCGTTTGTTAGTTCATCCAAAAATATGTCGTTCAAATCTATGTCTTTATTTTCAACGTCGGTTAAAAATTGGTTCAAATCAGCAAAGTTTTCCATTTCAAAAGGTGTAAAAAAGTCATCCGTATTTTCCATCTCACAATTATTAATTTCATGTAAGAAATTATCTAATTCCTCACTGAAATTAATAACTGGTGAATTGGGTCTGGTTTGATTTGTTGAGTTAAAAATAAAATGAGGATTAGAAAAATTTTTCATGGTAATTACTTGTAAAATATTAATTTTTTCGGAATTCATTTTAATTAAATATTTACCTATTCACAAGACACAACACAAAATAAAAATGAGTAACGAAAACACTGAAACCATAAAACTTATTTCAAGAACTTCTTGAAAGTACACAGTCTGTCGTAACTGCAGATGGTTTTATACTTGCTCCCTACTTTAACCTTCTACTGGTTGCATTCCTATCCAACCAGTTCTTTCTCATCATAAGTCATTGATCCTACTATATCCCCTCACCCTCCTTCACCCCTCATCCAAAACAACATCATTTTTTTTTGTATACTATTTTTCTATTTATTTATTATTTTGTTTTGTGTGTGCAATTTTTCCAGATATGGATTTATTTCTACGCATTTTTGAATTCTTCTGGAACAGGCAACAGACCGAAGAAATAATTCTCAAAAGATTAGATATTTTGGAGCAGAGAGATACCAACAACGTAGAAGGATTGGCTCCGGAAGATGTTGAAGACCCAAACGACTCCGGATGTGAAGATAATGTCGCATCTGACACCCATAAGGCGATTAGGGCAAAGTATATTGGTGTAACAGAGTATCAAGAAGCCCTAGAATCCGGAGTGTTTTGTGTCTTCAAACATTATGTGCGAGTCACGATATCTACTAACGTGGTGGGTACTTTTCGTCAGTTGGCACTGTGTGGAGAGTGTTATTATAGACACCAACTCATGGTTCCATATGGTTCCCATGAGCATATGTCTTCGCATTTCTCCACAAAACTGTTACCTGAAGAAATTAATAAAATGAAACGTGGTGGAAAATGTGCAGTGTGTAACACTAATTTATATATTATAATGCATCCTACTTGTTGCTATATTTGCAATGGGAAGAATTTTTCAGTGGAAATGTAGTAATATATAGGATGCATTATTTTATTTATTTTTGATATGTATTATGTTTTGTTTTATTATATATTTTAATTTTTGTAATTAGTTATTAAGTTACTATTTTATAATTTTATTTGTATTGTTTAAATTATATATTTTAGTTTAGTAATTAGTTATTAAGTTACTATTTCTAAAATTTTATAATTTTATATATTAGTATAGTATTTAGTTAAACATTTGTAATAAGTATTTTTTATTTATTAATATGTGGTAATTTACAAGGGTATATGCTATTATTTTAAAGTAAAAATGTATAATAGTTATATGTAGTAACATATACATATTTATAAGTAGATACTTCACAGTTATAGGGTAAATAGGTATATTCAAAGACTATTTAGGTTCATAAACAATGTTTTAATTTATATAAACAATATTTAATTATAAACAATATTTTAACTTTATAACCTAACTTAAAGTTGTTAAACTAAAATATACTTTATTCAGAATATGTATTTTGAATAAAAATATAAGCATCATTTTCTTTTTAGAAATTAAATCCTCTTTTTAATGTGATTGTAAAATGATGTCTAATTACATGTTCTTGAATCTGCACCAAATATGTATAACTTGAACAACACATTGGACATTTCATCTTTAAACCACTTTGTACATCATCATTCCATTTCAATATACAACTTAGACAAAAGAAGTGTGAACACGTATTTGGCATACAACTTTCATAGAAATCAATCATTTCATAACAAATAGCACAAAGCACTTTCATACTACTTTCTTGTACATTTTTTTTTTTAAAGTAGTTAAACTTTCTACTTCTTCTCTAGGAGGAGAGTCTAACACACTAAAAGATTGACGTTGAGCACTAAGAACAGATTGATCTGATAATTGCAATGGAAATTCTACTAAATCACTCATTTTAAATCAATTTTTAAATTATTATACTAGATATTATTCTTACTGATGTTGAAACTAGATATAAACGAAAATCTTAAGAATAAATAACAAAATATATTGGAAATAAAAAGGAGTAGGGGAAAGGGTAGAATTAGTAGTGGGGGGAGGAGGAGGAGTATAATGAGGAGGAGGGTCTCATATATTATCTACTTACGTTCATGTTACTACCTAATCTTCTAATCATTTGTACTACAAGGAGACCCATTACAATAATTTTTGTGTAAACACACTAGCCTGAAAACCAAAATCTCAATGCAGGCACATCTAATTGGTTCTGCAACTTTGGAACGCGATTATTCGGAAACCTCTGGACAAAAGTCAACAAAGTAGGATACCACTGAAAAGAGAATTAAAAGCCCTTTAAAACTATGTGCCACTTGACCCCCATTCCCATTTAAGATTGTAAGGGTGACATCTACCCCTCCTAGAGGGTTGAAAGAAAAAGACTAAAAATATTCATTTAAAGTGTCCCCTTTACAAATAAAATTGACGTGTTTTTCCGGTCTTTCATATTTTCAACTTCAAGAAAGATATTAAGGGTGAGAAGTATTAAAATTGATACAGTGTATATTGATATTTTCTGATTTCGGCCGTAGAGTGCGCTGCGGACGGAATTTGTTGAAATCAACTGAAATGCACCAAGCCTATAGGAGGGAGGTTAATCAGCGCGACTTTGCAGATGGTACGAATATCGTCTCGGCGCACTCAGTGATGGGGTATTCTGGTGTGTTTTCCTGTTACTTAGTACTATTAAAACACTGTTATGTAATAAAACTACTGCTTGAAAAACAAAATTAAATAGAGCTGTAAATTCTAAAAAAATTCAATATCAAAACAAGTATTTATAAATAACAAAGGTAAATTTATGACCAAGTAATATAAAGAAAACAATGCATAAATATATAATTATACAGGATGTCGCAATTCAAACGAAACAAGGCAATTTAAAGGCATTTCTGTGTGAAAAGGACAAAACAGTGAAACACGTCAATTTTTTTTTCAAAGGGGAAATAAAATGCGACTATTTTTGAAGCCCCTAATTCAAACCCCACGCGGGGGTGACATCCACCCTTAAAATCTTAAATGTAATGTGGGGTCGAGCAGCACATCATTTGAAAGGTTATTAAAGCCTCTTTTCAGCGTTGTCTCATTTTTGGAGTTTTTAATAACAACCTTTTTTCATTTAGCACTTCAAAAAATCAAAATTTGGATTTTTTGTTCAGCTTTAGAAAAAGTTCTCTCACAGGGTACA